GAGGCAATGATAACTGTTTCCTAATCCTACTGAGGGCAGAACAGGTTGGATGAGAAGGTGGAAGCATCAGAGACTACCATTAGTTATGAAACAGACCGCGCTGACCATCAGAAGCCTGTAACAGAGAAACCAATGACAATGGAACCAGTGAGTGGATTGGGGATAAATGGGGAGGGAGACAGATATCTGTTAGCCTGGATGGATCCCCAGACTGGTGATGTGGAGCAGAGGGAAGCTTTGGTGGATGGGGGAACCAAATAACTAGCATTACAATGCAGATGTTCATCTCAAATTGGCCATCATTTCTTTCACTGAGATTTAATACTGTATACAGAACACAGGGAAGAGTTGGTGCAGTTAAACTTCAGTTGAATAGTATTTAATGTGTTTACATACACATACAGTCTGGTGCTCTGTCATGTCCAACTCTTTGCGATTCCATGGACTGTAACATGCCAGGCTCCTCTGTCCATGGAATTTTCCAGGCAAGAAATACTGGAGTGGGTTGCCATTTCCTTCTCCAGGGATCTTCCTAACCCAGGGATCAAACCTGTGTCTCTTGTGTCTCTGGCATTGGCAGGCAGATTCATTACCACTTGGCCACCATGTTTTTGTAACCTATGCCTAAAGCTGCTAAGGATGTTGATGCTAATGAAAAAGAAATCATGTTATTGTCCTCAAAGTATTCATAAAACTCAAGTTTACACTTATGAAACATTTGGAACAAAATGAAAAGGTTTTCAACAGTGTTAAATTGCATACAAATTTGGCAGCATACAACAAACAAGTGCTTTAGGCGGTGGAAGGAGAGAGATTAGTACAGGTTGAAGTTGTCTGGAAGACTTTCAGAAGATGACTGTTCTTGAGATACTTCTTTGAAGAATAGGTGAGCTTTTGATTGGCAGTAAGTTATAAAAGGGTGATAGCAATTTGGAAGAAGGTTAGTTCTTTCAAGAGTGAAAGAGCTGCACAGACAGGAGGATAGAACAAGAAGGGTATATTTAGTGGTTGAGATATGATTGAAGGAGATGGTATATGGAAAGGAACAGTAGGAAATTAACAAATAAAATGTTCAAAGCTACATGTATTTGCTTGGTAATTTCACATATGGGAATACAGGGCCAAATTACAGAGTCTGAAGTATCAAGGTAAATTTCAGACTTATAAACAATAGGGGGCCTAGTATGTTCTCCCATGTGCTAAATGAATGATGAAAGTGGTATTTTTGAAAAATGATTTATCTGGTCGTATGAAGGATGCAATGGACTGGAGAGACATTAATGAGATTTGCATCCATTAAAGGTCTGGATGAGGGAAGTGGCATTTTGTTTGTTTATTTATTCATTCTTGGCTGTGCCAGGTCTTCATTGCTGCCAGGGCTTCTCCTTGCAGTGGTTCCCTTGTTGCAGAGCACAAGCTCTAGGGTGAGCAGGCTTCAGTAGTTGCAGCTCCTGGGCTCCTGAGCACAGGCTCAATTGTTGTGGCCCACGGGCTTAATTGCTCCAAGGCATGTGGGATCTTCCCGGATCAGGGATTGAACCCATGTCTCCTGCATTGACAGGTGGATTCTTTGCCACTGAGCCATCAGGGAAGCCCCAGAAGTGGCATTTTTAATGGAGCGGAGAAAAATAAACACTTTGAAGAAAATGCCTTGCTCCAGTGATAATTTCATATGGGCAATAAATAAGAGGAGTTAAAATAGCTTGAATTTTAAAACTAACTTTAAATTTTAAATATGGGCATCTGGGAAAATGGTTGACTGAAATGGGAACTGTAATCAGAGTGATCTGGGGGGGGGGGAGTTATAAATTTGGTATTGGCCAAGTTGAATTTACAGTCACAGCCTATGCTGCTGCTGCTAAGTCACTTCAGTCATGGCTGACTCTGTGCGACCCCATAGACGGCAGCCCACCAGGCTCCCCCGTCCCTGGGATTCTCCAGGCAAGAACACTGGAGTGGGTTGCCATTTCCTTCTCCAATGCATGAAAGTAAAAAGTGAAAGTGAAGTCACTCAGTCGTGTCCTACTCTTAGCGACCCCATGGACTGCAGCCTACCAGGCTCCTCCGTCCACGGGATTCTCCAGGCAAGAGTACTGGAGTGGGGTGCCATTACCTTCTCTGCACAGCCTATGAGGGTGTCCTAAAGGTAGCTGAATTAAGTCCATGCTCCAGTTCTAAGTGCAAAGTTACAAATGCAGACAAGCTCAGTAGATCTAGTATTTACAGAATACGGAAAGGCCAATAACCATGCCTTTAGTTAGTAGGAGAGGAATTAACCAAGGAAAAGGAAACAAATTGATTGGAGAGGTAGGTAGATAGCCAAATTTGTATTATAGAGTCTAGAAGAGAAAGTTTAATATAATCAGTGAAAAGCTACCAATAGGCCAAGGAGAAGGAGGTCATTGATAACTACAGAGAAAGCAGTTTCAATTGAGTGGTTGTACCACAAGCTACTTCTGTGGCGTTAGAAAGGGAATACATTGTGAGGAAGTGGAGGGAGAGGATAAACCAACTATCTGAGAAATCTGGTAATGAAAAAAGAAGCAGAGGACTTCCTTGAAAGTCCAGTATTTAAGACGCTACGCTTCCAATGCAGGGGCATGGGTTCAATCCATGGCTGGGGAACTAAGATCCCCAATGCCACGAGGTGCGGCCAACGAGAGAGAGGAGCAACAGCTAGAAAGGGCCAAAGTGCAGAACCTAAGTGCAGTCTGAATATAGTTGAACATAGATGGGAGGGATCAGTAGGAATGGAAAGCTGATGACTGACAAGAACAGATAAATATTTTAAAGTATATGGTAGGCTCCCTTTCGGAGAAGGAAATGGCAACCCACTCCAGTATTCCTGCTTGAAGAATCCTGTGGACAGAGGAGCCTGGTGGGTGGCCGTCTATGGGGTCGCAGAGTCGGACACGACTGAAGGGACTTAGCATGCATGTATGCATTGGAGAAGGAAATGGCAACCCACTCCAGTATTCTTGCCTGGAGAATCCCAGGGATGGAGGAGCCTGGTGGGCTGCTACCTATGGGGTCACAGAGTCGGACATGACTGAAGCGACTTAGCAGCAGCAGCAGACTCCCTTTAGCTTGTAAACTCTGTGAGGGTAGGACCAGTGTCTTAATCATATTTATATCCCCCTATGTGGGCTTTCCCGGCTTCCCTGGTGGCTCAGAGGTTAAAGCACCTGCCTCCAATGCGGGAGACCTGGGTTCCATCCCTGGGTTGGGAAGATCTCCTGGAGAAGGAAATGGCAACTCACTCCAGTATTCTTGCCTGGAGAATCCCAGGGACGGAGGAGCCTGGTGGGCTACAGTCCATGGGATCGCAAAGAGTCGGACACGACTGACTGACTTCACTTTACTCTCACTTTCATGCGGGCTTCCCCAGTGGCTCAGCGTTAAAGAATCTGCCTGCAATGCAGGAGCCACAGGAGACCCAGGCTCAATCCCTGGAACAGGAAGATCCCCTGCAGAAGAGCACAGCAACCCATTCCAGTATTCTTGCCTGGAAAATCCCATGGACAGAAGAGCCTGGTAGGCTACAGTTCATAGGGTCTCAAAGAGACACAACTGAAGCGACACACAGCACCTGTGCCTGAACCTGGTGCCTCAGACAGTAAAGAATCTGCCTGCAATGCAGGAGACCCGGGTTCAATCCCTGGGTCAGGAAGATCCCATGGCGAAAGGAATGATTATCCACTCCAGTATTCTTGGAAATTCCCCGGACAGAGGAGCTTGGCAGGCTATAGTCGATGAGGTTGCATAGAGTCGGACACGACTGAGTGACTAATATGGCACCTATTACAGTGACTAGCACAGTGTCACGTGCACAGGTTAAAAAACAAAAAACATGTCACTGACCCTAGTATGGTCAGGAATGGCTGAAAGGCACAGAGGAAAGGACTTCTTATAGTGATGGGGAGGAGGGCTGGATCTTTCTCTAAGCTCAGAAGAAAGAAGACAGAGGTTGGCATAAAGAGATGGTTATCTTTCCAGAGTGGGAGCTGGGTGGTAGGAGGATGATACTAGCCTACTGTGAGGGGATGTCTGTATTTTAGCAGAGTCCAGATCTGAATGATGCTGTATCCCGTCTGCAGAGTTCTGGTTCACTCCTTCTGTTCTGGGCCCTCGTTCGGGGGGGGATGTATTTCCTGTAAAAGGTAAGAGTGCAGCCACTGGCCTTGGGGGAGTTTTGAAGTTTTACCAGTATCTCCAGCTAGTGTTCCCAGCTTGGTCAATTCTCAGCTGCTTAAAGGAAGAGGGGTCACATTTAGAAAAAGCTTATCTAACTTCAAGGAGGTTTAGGAGATGTTGAGGCAAAGGCCTTTGTCATAAGAGTCATTACTTTTTCTGAACTGGGATGATTTCAGGACCACCTAGAGCAGAAGCAGGTGGAAGGGACAAGAAACTTCTCCAGGTTTTCAGTCTGCCTTGAGAAATCAGAGCTGGTTTCAGCCTGGACTGGTTTAAGGTTCTGCAGGTGCCAGAGGGCAAAATGGGAGGGGCCCTGCAACCTGACAGAGTTGAGAGGCTGAAGTTCAGAAGTGGGGGCATGAATGGTTCTCTAATGTAGGGGAGAGACAGTGGGGGAAAGGAAGAGGGAAGAGAAACTTGAATTATAAGGAAGGAATTTAAGTTGGTAACCACAGTAAGAGGCACGAAGTTTAGCAGAAGGAAGGAATGAAGGAGGGGACACATCTAATAGATGTCATGAAGAAATCTAGCTCAAAATATAAAATCCGGGCAGTTTCCATAGAGGTGGGAGAGCCTGAAAGGTTTCCCGAGTCCCCTGACCCTGATTTTCCGCAAACCACCTCCTCCGCACTTTGTTTTTTAGGAGAAGGAAGACTCCTTGATGGGGATCTGGGAAGAGGACAGTGGAAGATTAAATAAATAAATGAAGTAATCTGGTTACTCTCTCCTCCTTTATGAGGGCCAGTTCTAAAGCCACAACACTGAAGAGAACACCAGGATATGTGGGAAGGGTGGATTACAAACGGAGTTAGGCAACAGTAGATTTAGAGGGAATTATTAGGACCATGGGGAGGGGGGGTGGAACTGAAATTTGGGGAAGAACAGAGAAAAGCACCCACAAACAGGTTTATTCACAGCCTATAATTCCCTCTAATTCTACCATTTTACCCTATCATATACAGTATTGAAACAATATGCTTGGAGAAAGTTGAAGTAGAACCCTTTTATCCTTTTTATAAAATGAGCACGTTGTTAATTAAGCAAACGTAAACCATCAAAAGCTACTTAGAAAAAAAAAAAGCTACTTAGAATAGATTTCAAAAATTCACACCCTCTTCTACTTACTCTCCACACCCCTAGCCCCCCCCCTCCAACGCCCGCCTCTAAATATGTACCATTTTCAGTTAGTAATTAGGGCATGCAAGGACAAACTTAAAAAAAATTTTTTTTCTCCCTTTATCCTTGCGACCCTAATCAGAACTAGACTGCCCCCTTGCGGTCTCTTCAATGTTAAAACTTTAATCAGCCCACAGTCCCCGAGCCCCGTCCCCTTCTCTCCACAGTGCTCTCAACACCGCGAGGGGAGTTCCCTGGTTGCTTAGTGGTTAGAACTCCGAGCTTTCGCTGCTGTTGCCCGGGTTCAGCCCCTGGCTGGGGAACTGAGATCCTGCAAGCCTCCCGGTGGTGCAGCAAAGAAAAAAGAAAAAAAAAGCTGCAAGGGGCGGTGAATAGTAAACTCCGGACTTTGCCATCCTCCCTTCTTCAAATCTTCTCCAGAGGACCAATGAAGAAACAAAAGCTAAACAAAGGCATAATCTAGGAAATCACAGACCTACCCGCCTCCCCATTCCTTGTGCTAAGTAAAATGGAATTAAGGGTACAGGGCCTGAGGAACCCGGGTAGAAGTCAGGAACAACCCGGCTGGGTTTTGACCTCTAGATTGATGGCGGGCTGGCATCTGAGCTGGTAACGTGCGCGGCGGGTTATGTAAGCAAAGGGCTGGAGGAGCCGCCCCAGTGGGAGCCGGGGAGAGGACGCGGTGTTCTCGGCAGCAGTCCCCACCCTCTTCACCCAAGAGGGCAGGAGGCACCCAACTTGTAGGATAAGGAGGAGGGGAAAGTGAAACAGAGACCCGGGAGTCACGAGGGCTGGGCCGCGGCGAGGGGGAGGATACACTGGGGCACACGTCCATGTTCTCACACACGTTGCAGACGCAAGTCGCTGACGGGTTCCACGTGCTGCACTTGCGAGCGGAGGCGCTGAAAGAGGGGGCACAGGGGTCGGTTACCAAGGAAGAACCAAGAGTCCCACACCGCAAGGCTCACACCTCAGGTCACACTACTAGTCTGCACACTCCAGCCGCGCGGCTTCACGCACCACCATCCTATTTAAGGCCACGGGCTCCGCCCTTTTTCTCCCCTCCCTTCTTTTCCACTCTTTTTCCATCCTCCTCCTTTTCTCATCACCGGGTCCTCCTTGCTAGCCGCATGTAGGGGCGGAGCACAGAATGCTCACCATCCAACCAATCGGCCCCTGACAGCCGCTTTATTGGCCGAACCCCTGTATGCTGTAGCAAATGGGATGTGAACTTCAGTAACGAGAGTCACGTGTCACCGGCTACACAACCAATGAGGCTGCGAGGTCTGTGTAAGCAGGGGGAAGGCACGTGCGGAGCTGCACGTGTCCCGGAGGGGGAAGGGGCGGGACCCAGTGGGAGGGAGCCGGAGGTGGGTAGCCGAGACTCCGGAGTCTGAGTAGGAGCTGCAGACGGCCTGGGCTGAGCCGACTGACACAGGTGAGGAGATTCAGACGCCAGGGAGCGATCCGTGCGGGAGGATCAGACCCGGTGGGAGTGGGCTTAGGCACTCGTTGCAGATCATGGTATTGCAAGGATTCGCATCACGTGGCAGGTGCGACTGGGAATGGTCCGGCGCAGGGATGGCGATCAGAAAGGTTGGGAAGAGGCGGGAGTTTCCTACAGGGTCCCTCGGTGGGTTCAAGTGCAGCAGATTTCCGGCTTGCTGGTGTAGTGAGCTCAGGTAGAGAGGCTCGCTACGGGTCAGGATGAGACCAGAAAGGCGAACCGGACAAAGGGGTCATATCATGTCATTTACTCTGAAATGAAGAAGAACGAACAGTCTGTGTCAGGCTAAGAGCTGCTCTGCAGCGGGCACAAAGGCAATCCAGGTTCTTAATGGAGTGGGGGAGGCGGGGAAGATGACTTTTTCTATTGTGCCCGAGCCAGGATTAATACTGGGAAGGGAGAGAAGGGATGTTATTGTCGTATACAGTACACCCCAGTCTCTCAGTCCATTTCCCAATCCTCAGATTCTGGTTTCAGACCCCCTCGCTTTGCTCTTCAGTTGCAGGTCCAGATCTTTGGGTACTCCGCGAGCTGCTTTCCAGACCCTGCTTCTGAACCTATGGATTCTCCGTCTAGCGTTTCTTCCTATTCTTCCTACTCTCTTTCTTCCTCTTTTTCCACCTCCCCAGTGAACAGTGACTTTGGCTCCCCCTCCGATAGTGAGGGGGAGGACAAGTGGGCTCATGGCCCCAAGCCAGACACTGTTGGGCAGAAGGAAGGTTCTCGGCCCAGCCCTGGTCCTATCCGCTGCAGGCAACGACCCAAGGTTTCCAGTAACCAACATGTAGCATCTCACTCGGAACAGCGGGGCTTGGCTGCTTCTATGTCAGGATCTGGGGTCAAAAGATCAAGAGATGGTGAATTGGAGACCTGTATAAACATCCAGGGTTGTACCACAGAAGGAGACCTGCTCTTTGCTCAGAAGGTAAGAGAAAGCTGGGAAAGTGAGAGGGGACCAGAATGGTTTAGTATTCATTTGGTTGATAAGGACCCCACAAGGAGCGTATTGGCTCCCAGGTTGGATGGAAAAATAAGTACTGGTGTGGGCAATTCTTGGTCTTCTCATACCATTTGTCCTGTTTTCCTATAGTGTAAAGAGCTCCAAGGATTCATACCCCCTCTCACAGACCTACTGAAGGGGCTGAAGATGGGTCGATTTGAGAGAGGTAATTATCTAATTAGTTGCATTCATTTGAGCTAGGTTCATATGTCTCTCTCTCTCCACATATGTTTTAAATGTGTATTTCTCTTAAGTCTTTGGGGCCTAGATGATTCCTGTTTTCTCCTGTGACAATTTCCTTAGGTGAATCGATTTTAACTCCCTTCTGTCTTTCCTTTTGCTGACTAAATTCTTGAATCTCAATCCTTTATCTCACCTTCTTTCTCCTAACCCCAGGACTGAGCACTTTCCAGCAGAGTGTGGCAATGGACAGGATCCAGCGTATCTTAGGAGTTTTGAAGAAACCACAGATGGGGTAAGTCCCCTTTGCTTCTTTTCTCTTCTTCATAAAGTGCTATTTCCAATCCTGTTCTGTTGCTTTTTTCACACCTAATGGCCTTTTATTTTTTACTTTCCCTCACAGAGAGCGTTATCTAGGAACTCTATTACAGGTGGAAGGAATGTTAAAGACTTGGTTTCCTCATATAGCTGCCCAGAAGTCATCATTGGGTAGCAGCAGGCACCAACTGACCAAGGTGAGAACTTATTATCTGAGGGAAAGTTGGGGAAATAACCAAAGGAATGAAGTGTACATACAGAAAGGGGCTCCCTCTCCCATTTTCTTCTGGGTCTTTTCATCTTTTCAATAAGTTTCTTTTCAAGGAAGAGAATGCCTAGATTCCTTCATAGTCTGATTTCTAGATGTTGTTTGTTTCCATTTTGTTTGGGTCATTTCTAAGAACTCTATGGAGTTTAACCCCATACCGCATCTTGTAGCTTATCTTTCTGAATAGATACAGAAGACTTTTTATCTGGCCAAATGAATCATGCAAGAAGATCCCACAGCTTGTCTATGAAAATCTTTTCTCCTCTGCTGCCCCTAAACCGCTTTTCCTCTCCTTTTTACTCCCACCCAAGGATCCTTGTATCACTCTGGAAGCATAGGTTTTGAGGAATGGTCGCAGTTCTTAAGGAACTCAACATAGAAAATTAGATCTTAAAATACAGAAATTGGAAAATGATGATTCCAATTAAAAACTTTAGAAAGACATTCTAAAACAAATTTGTTTATAAAGAGTGAAAATTTGTGAGACTGTTTTATTTGGTATATGTCTGAATTGTTGTTTAGTTGCTAAGTCATGTCTGGACTGTAGCCGGCCAAGCTCCCCTGTCCATGGGTTTCTCAGGCAAGAATACTAGAGTCGGTTGCCATTTCCTTCTCCAGGGCATCTTCCCAACCCAGGGATCAAACTTGCATCTCCTGCATTGGCAGGTGGATTCTCTACCACTGAGCCACCATATGTCCCTCATATGTCTTAATAGCCAGTGCTATATAGTGTGTGGTGTATATAGTAGGCCTTTAAGAATTTGGTTACTAAAACATTTACTTAATCATGGCCCAGCAGGAAATTATCTATTGCATAAAGCAAGGTATGTTAGCATTACAGAGTTCCCAAGAAAAAACCAAGGTTTAAACAGCCAGGTGGAATTATTCTGAAGGCTTTCTCACATAATTTTTTCTCTTTTCTTCCCCCTCCCTAGTATTTTCCAAGCCACCACAGTTATCCAGCTGCTTCCTCTCCTGCACCTTCCATGGAAAAGATGGACCAGACACAGCTAGGACAGCTAGTATTAAAACCAAAGCAGCCTTGGCACCTCACTGAATGGCCAGCTATGAACCTCACTTGGATCCACACTACTCCAATTTGCAATCCCCCTCTCAGTTCCCCAGGTACCATCTCCTTTAGCCACGGTCCTTTAGGCACTGGAACCAGCATCGGTGTCATCCTTTTCCTCCAGCATGGAGTACAGCCCTTGACTCACTCAGCTCCAGTCACTCCAGTTCCATCTACGACAGCATCTCCTGTCATCCCTGGTAATCATGAGAAACTATCTGCAGAGGGGCCTCATTATCACAATTTGCCAGTAACTCTGCCATCAAACTGTAGCTGTGCCCCTTCCCCTCCTGGTCTACCCACCCTGACCAGAGAGATGACCACAGGACACCTGGAACAGATGAGAAGCCACCCTCTAGTTGCTCCTGCTGTCCCTCCTCTCAACCCCTAATCCAGGACCTGAGACTGTAGTTTCTAATTTGTGTAAATATATGTCTCTCTCTCTTTTTTTTTTTTTACTTTTAATGTGTGCATTTGTGTTGAAGAAAGAGAAATCCTTTATGATTAAATAAATTTTATAATTAAAGAGTTTACTCACTGGGGGAAATTGAAACCTTTTGCCTCAAATACCAGTGTTTCTCCTCTGACCTGCAGAAAAGAAAGGGGAGGGAAATGTTTGTGAACGCAAGCTCCCCCAAATTAGAGGTCTGGATGGGACGATATACGTCCTGTGGGAGAGGAAAAGGGACTCTCTGCTGCTGAATTCCTAGGAAACGCCCTTGGGACAGTTAGGGGTTCAAAACTGGGTCTGTTTTTCCATTCAGGCTCAGAGACTAGTACCTTTCCTTCTGTGTGTCTCATGCTTGTAACCTTCCAGCTGGTCCAGACTAGCAGGTTCTGCTACTCAGGGGTAGCTCTTTGCTTCTCTGGGAACTGTTGATTCTTGTGGATAAATGCATAATGTAATCTACTGCTGCCAGAGAAGGGACACCAAAGCCAGAACAGCCACTGTGGTTGCTAGTTTTGAAGAGGAAGGGATGCCTTAGAACTATCGGAATGGTAAGTCCTCTCAGACGCTGGGCCTCATCATTATTCAAAAAGCTTCAGCTGCTAAACGTAGGTTACCCGGTGTCATCAGACCACAGAAGTGAAGTCTGTGAATTTACCTACCTCTGCACTTTTCCATGTATTGTTCTTTCTGCTCTATCCCAGTTTACATCACAACCATGGCCTCTCCCAGCCTCGGCGATGTATCAGACTACCTTGTCATTTTACTTATATTGCATATGGGCTGCATAGCATATTTCTCATAGCTAATTGTACATCTTTCACCTGTTTCTCAACTCTTCTGTTCTTAGTAGATTATTGTGTCCTTTTATTTCAGACAACATGCTCTCTCTTCTAAGGCAAACTTCTCCAGTTGTGCTTTTGATTACCTTTCACCTCTGGAATTTTTGCTGAATCACTTGTCCCTTGTTTACTTTGTAACTTCCAATTGTTATTGATTTATTTATTCTTTCTTCCTCCCGCAAGTATGATCAGGTACCCTCTTCTTGAAAATATCTCTTGATTCTAATTGCGCTCTTTCACTTTCTCATCTTTTTTCTGTAATTCTTTTTATTTATGTATATATTTATTTAGCTGCACCAGGTCTTATTTGTGGCATGTGGGATCTTCATTGCACAGGCTTAGTTGCCCCACAGCCTGTGGGATCTTAGTTCCCCAACCAGGGATCGAATCTGTGACCCCTGCATTGAAAAGTGGATTCTTAGCCACTGGACCATGGAGGAAGTCCTTTTTCTTTAATTCTTCACAGAGGAGTCTAATCATACTCTTTCTGACTCCTTCCTATCACATAATCCTTAAATCTTACAGCCCAGCATCCACGTCATCACTCTACTGCACCTTCTTAGTCACTAATGATCTTATAGAATTTGAGTATCATAAAGTAGCTTCCACCCAATCAATAGGTCCAGGGGCTTTACAAAGGCCAGGGACCCAGTGCTCTCAGTACCATTTGACACTCTTGGTAATGCCTACTGAAACTCTTTCCCTTGGATCCCATGTCAGCACACTATGCTAATTCTCCTCTTACCTATCTGGCAACAACTTCTATATCTTGCAATAGCCTCACTGCTGCCCACTCCAGAGTATGGGTGTTCCCTTAGGCTCAATCCTTGGCTCTTTAACTATATTCTTTCACTTCAAGCTTTCATCTTCTTCAGGGCTCTAATTATTACCTCAACTTAGAAGACTTCTGAAGCTTCCTCTCCAGTCTCAATCTTTCCCATGAGATGACATCCTGAATGTATACATTTCTGCTGGACGGTTTCATTTACACATTACTAATACTTAAAACTTATTAAACATTTCATCATTTTAGAGCCAAGAGGTGACATGAGAGCCTGATTAGTCGATTCAGTTGTGTCCTAATCTTTGCGACCCCATGGACTGTAGCCCACCAGCTCCTCTGCCCTTGGGATTCTCCAGGCAAGAATACTGGAGTGGGTTCCCATTTCTTCCTCCAGAGGATCTTCACAACCCAGGGACCAACCTGTGTCTGCTGCATTGGCAGGCAGATTCTTTACCTCTGAGCCATCAGAGAAGCCCCAAGAGGGTACCATTTGTAATTAATTCAACTCCATTTTATAGATGAGGACACTTAGGTAGCTTGTGGAAGACAACACAATGTGTCTTACAGGACTCTGGTTTTCCGGTCTGATGCCTTTTCTAGTGTTGACCAATCAAATTAGCATTCTTCCTGTTCTGCCTTTTTACAGCCTCTTTTTCTTCTGTTAATGCTACCATCATTTTTCTAGATAACTAAGTTTAAAATTTGGTGCTATTTAGTCATCAAATCCTTTTTATTCTATATTTGGGATGGCTCTTAAATCTGTTTCTTCCTTTCCATTCCATCACCACCTCTTTGGTTTAAACCTTGACTATAGCAATAGCTTCTCTTACTTCTAATCCCTTCTCACTTATAAACAGAAAAATTCCACAAAAAAAACGCTGCACATCACATCCCATACAAAAGCGCTCTCAGATATTGAGAAAAAAAACCAAAAAACATTGACAAAAGCTCTGTTTCTCTCTCTGCTCCCATGCATGATCCCTCTGTTCCAGGCTGTTTTCTTGTTGCTTGCTTCCAGAAACTGTAAGCCTTTTTGCCTCTAAACTCTTTGTTCATGCCACTCAGTTTGCCCAGCCTTTCCACCCTCTTTTAACTAAGTCCTCCCAATTGTTTGCCCTATTAAACACAATCTATATGCTTAGGCTTTGGCCCTTTACTCCATCAAATGAAAGGAGGTATATAAACTGCCTAGTACAAGGTTTGGTATCTAATACCCTGATATAAGGTTCTCAAAAATGCTACTTTTCCTCTTCCTTTCTTTCAAAATATTTTTCTGTGGTATCCCTTTTGATTCCCATGACAAATTTTGTGTGATTGAAGGCACATATTAGTTCAATTTTACAGAGGAGGGAACAGACTGAAAGCTTGAGTAAGTGGTCAGCAAAGAAAGATATATGCCTTGTGGGCCATACATCTTGCTGCAACTACCCAGCTCTGTCATTGTAGCCCAAACAGTCATACCTAATATATAAACGAACGGCAGAACTGTGTTCTGATAAGTTTTTTTTTTAATATATTTATTTTTGGCTTCCTGGGTCTTCGTTGATGTGAGCAGGCTTTCTCTGGTTGAGGCAAGTAGGAGTTACTCTTCATTGCAGTACACAGCCTTCTCATTGCAGTGGCTTCTCTTGTTGGGGAACACGGGCTCTAAGTGCTCAGGCTCAGTAGTTGTGGCACATGGCCTTAGTTACTCCAAGGCATGTGGAATCTTCCCAGACCAGGGATTGAACCCATGTTCCCTACATTGGCAGGCAGATTCTTAACCAGTTGACCACCAGGAAAGTCCCAATAAAGTTTATTTACAAAAACAAGAATGGGGCTGGATTTGACCTGTAGGCAGTACTTTGCAGACTACTGATTTAAGTGACTTGGTCAAGGTCATATGCCTGATGAGTATCAGAATTTTGATAGAATCCAGATCACCTGACTTCCAATCCAGTATTTTTCTACTACATTATGCTACTGGCTATATAATTTATTTTGCATTCATCATACACTACCTTGTCATACTATTTATCTTTTTGTACACTTACTATGTTTTGGTAGTTCAAGAGGCAGTGGAGGAATTTCCCAGGTGGTATAGTGGATAAGAATCTGCCTGCCAAAAAAAAAAAATCTGCCTGCCAATGCAAGGGACAAGGGTTCGATCCCTGGTCAGGGAAGATTCCATATGCTGCAGAGCAATTGAGCCTGCCTGCCACAAATACTGAAGCCTGAACACTCTAGGGCCAGAAAGCGACAACTAATGAGCCCTTGTGCCACAACTACTAAAGCTCATGCTCCCAGAGCCTGTGCTCTGCATCGGGGGAGGCCACCGCAATGAGAAACCCAAGCACCACAATGGAGAGTAACCCCTGCTCGCTCAACTAGAGAAAACCTACATGCAGGAACAAAGACCGCACAATCAAGAATGTGAATGTGATGTGAAAGTCGCTCAGTCGTCTCCGACTCATGGAATTCTCTAGGCCAGAATACTGGAGTGGGTAGCCTTTCCCTTCTACAGGGGATCTTCCCAACCCAGGAATGGAACCGAGGTCTCCTGGATGGCAGGTGGATTTTTTTACCAACTGAGCTATCAGGGAAGCCAACCAAAAATAATAAGGAGTAAATAAATAAAAGGTAGTGTAATGACACAAAGTAGGCATTCCATAAAAGTTTGTTGATAAGCATAATCATGTCCCAGACTAACTCTATTTTGGTTACTTTGAACCTGGCTTACTTTAAGGCAGGCTTCAGTTTTTGTGTGAGTCCTGTTAGCATAACTGATGAGGATGCATCTGTGTGTATGTTCCTGTGTGTTTCAGGGGAGTTACCCAAAGAACGGTATTGCACAAGTACCTGGTTGACATGCTTTCTTCTTCTGAGCCTTTCCCTACTGTTTTCCAGTAGCCATTTCCAGTAGATCTGAACTTATATGAATACCCATAAAACAAGATATATGTAGACATAACATATGAATAAAAGGAAAGCTGGTTCTACAATGAGGAAAAAGTAAAAAAAAAAAAGTTATTTCTTCTAAGTCTCACTAGGAGACAAATGGGATAGAAGCTGGCATAAAAGAGTCTTTGATTCTAAATCCTGTAGATGAGCTTTCCGATTCTTTAGAGATTCCACTTTATTTAGTGAAGTGTCTAGGGAGATGGTGATATAGGAAACTGATAGTATGTTATTTCATTTCTTGCTCTTAGTTTTTTGGGTGTAAAGCTGTTTTCCATCCGGAGTTCGCTACGTGTGTCCTATTCTTTTGTGACCACCCCCACTCCCACGGACTGTAGGTAGTAGTGCGCCAGGCTCCTCTGTCCATGGGATTTCCCAGTAAAGGATTCTGGAGTGGGTTGCCATTTCCTTCTCCAGAGGATCTTCCCCACCCAGGGATCGAATTCGGGTCTCCTGCATTGGCAGGTGGATTCTTTACCTCTGAGCCACCATGGAAGCCCCTTCCACCC